TATTATAAGAAGGGTAATGGTATCATATCCAGTGAATGAATTAATGAGGAAGATAATTGTTATGAAATTATGATATTTCATTAAATTGGTTTTAGTCGAATAAACTCGTTGTAAGGCAATAAATTTAACTGGAAACAAACTCATGTCTTCAATATCAGGTGCTGAAGCCTTCAGTACCATTATCACATCAATGTCCTCTGTTACAACAACTACATCACGGAAGTTTCCATCTAGAGGTGATAATTGAATGTTCCACATCACTTTCTCCTCAACTCCAAACAATATTATTTAATTTTTCATTTTGTGTCTCTGGATTGATATTATAAAAGGTACAATGAACTAAACATTTTTGAATGTTAGCTTAACATTTTGGGATTGAGCTCTGCTTGATTGTGATTCTATACAAAATTTCAGGAGATTTAGCTTCTTTGATCAAATGGTTATATGTATACAAAATTGCATTCACCTACAGTATCGCACATAAAGCTGGAAAGTACTTCAAATGAATATATCAGCAAATATATTATATTATTACTTTCTGTGAATGTTATTTGTGAGTGAATAACATTTACATTGTTCAATCTAAAAAGTGATATAATCTTCTCAAGTTTTGTAGCCATAATTTCACATCCTGCATAACTTTTCTCTGACATATCATGAACAGAAAGGATACCTGAAAAAATTATTTAGGCTTTACTGTCAAGGCCAATTCATTTTTCGAAAAATGAAAATAATCTTGAAATTCATTTTACACGAGGCAGATATTGATTTTGCAATCTCAAAATTAAATTAAATCAGTTTTAGTCCATCAGACCTCTTGTAACTGGGGCACACTGTACATATATTATTTCTCACAGACGCCTCAGTTCAATCATAATTATATTCATGAAAAGCATCTTTGAGTTTGACGTTATAGTTATCATAGGAATATTTACTGTTATTTTATTTGAAAAACAAGCCACGAAAAACTAAATTTTTATATGAACATCATACATATTATTTGAACAATATGACACCTCCTCAAATCGAGGCTGTTTCTGAGGAAAATACTTCATCGAATCGAGTAATACTGTATATTTGATAAATTCTACTGAAACATATTCGGGCTCATTTATTAGATGATATCATTCCAAATATTACAGACATTCTCTGTTTACATTAGATTCTCTCAAAATGAAATTCCAGTTCGTTTCTCTGATGAATGTTCATAACCCTAAAAAATCAGTGTTTCGTAAATACACTTATTCGTTGTCCCCATTGTGCTTATCAATTTTTTTTCAGTTGAGTGAATAAAATCAAGACTAAGGTGATACTGTCCTAATTTACAAAAGGTAAAGTACCTTTTCTTCACACTTTACCGTAACTACTATATTTTTCGGGGCCAATAATAAAATCTAACGTTCTACCCCATCTATTGTAAATATTGTTCAATAATACCAACGAATTCAAGTCAAGAAATTCCTTCCCCCGAGGCAAAGATTTTTGCTGAAAAAAATGAGCTTGCCCCAAGCCAAAATTCATAGCGAATGATAAAAGTTAGTACAAGAAAATAGCTTTAAATCATATATAATGTGCTTATCTACTCGAAATGAAAACTTTTCTGTCAACACAGAAGGTCATATGAATCAAGAAAAGTAAAATCATTCACTCTCATTTCATCTCTGTCATCAGTTTACACACTGAATGAGTAAGCCTGTCTCAAAATATGTTAGTAAAAGCATATGCTCTTGTTTTATTTCTGTTGTTCAATATTTCAAAATATTTTCTGTCCAAAATACAGAGAATTTTTTGTAGTTGTCAGAAAATTGAGAAATAACATAAAATGAAATAAAACTTTTGTGAACAAATTTGACAGACTTGTATGAATTCATTTTTCTGTAAACCAGCTATCGTCCCCACATACAAACAAAATCAGTAATCTAAAATCAACACTAATCTAAGAGATGGAAAACTTTCAGCATTATACTTATTTTTTTCAAAATCAATCTGATTCACTTCAAAACGTTTCAAAATATTATAAAACAAAAACAACGTCTCTGATATAATTGTACCATTATTTTTCAGAACTTTTAACCAACTCCTGTCAATGGGCAACAATTTTCGCCAGCCAGACCGGTGTTCCATTTCTGGATATTGAAACTAGAAAAAAAATAGGAGAAACCCGCCATTGGTAGTTTTACATCTAATACATAATTATTATGAACAATCAGTATTTTATATTTTTCATTCAACGCCATCAATATCCCATCATTAGTATTTTCATTTTTCACCAGTGAATTTCTGTCAGCTTTCAGTCAGTAAAACATTTCCAACATCTCTCAGAATAATGAACTTTGATAAAATTCACTCAAACAAATGTATGTTCACAATTACAAATTTCAAATTGAAATAAATATCTACCTGAAGACAACACAAAACAAAAATGCGACCTCAACCTTCAAAGTGATTCACTATGTAAAACAAATTCAACTCAGTTGCTCTATCACGGGTGTCATCGGTTTGTGAGACCGCTTGAATTTGTTTTGTCGTGCGATAGTTTTAATTTTGCGTTAACTAACCTCAATGAGTCTCACGTTCACAGACAAAGTATTTTTGCTTTCTTGGATTCATTCAACCATAACGCATGTTGATACTCATACTCGAATAACGAAACATAGTAGCGTTGTAACCCTTGATAATCCTTTTGACAACAAAAAAAGATAAATATAGCAAAATAAACAATAATATATTTTAGCAACTCTGCGCAGAAACTGATTGAGCAATTATGGCAGATAATAACCAGGCACCCAATGAATTTCATAATGAACTTTGCAATGATTTTGAACACTCATTTCCAATTGAAAAGTTGAACACAAAAAGGCATGTTTAACCCCAGGTATCAAAATATCTGCAAAAAATATGAGATCTCTGCACTGCATTCGTAAATTCAGATATTATTCATCGAAAAGCCATTAAAATAGAAAGAGATATTCATTATAAATACAAACAGGATAAAAGGTGCTAATAATAAAAGTGAAGGTTGCTAGAAAGTGATCAATGATTTGAGAGGTAAAAATAATGAACATGAAGAAATATTAATCGATGCTGATCAGCTAAATTTCTACTATCTCGAAATAGCACCCAAGATAATCAATTCAATAATAATGCCTACATAACTGAAGAATTTCAAGTAACTAACACCAGTCTTTCAGAATTCAAAAATATTTTCAATGAAACGCATTACAAAAACTGCTCTATTTGAGAGTGAAGATGTAAATGACCTTTCGAATTTCCAACCAATTTTGCTTTCAATCAGTTTACTCAAGTTGATAGAAAAATTACTGAAAAAATCGACTTCAAAGCTTTTTATTATCGAAAAATATAATAAACTGAACAGCAGTTCGATTTTAAACCAAACAAAGGAATCAATGGTGCTGTCTTGTCGTTCATATCAAGGATGTATGAAAACATGAATAAGAATGAGTGTGCCGCGGCAGTATTTTGTGATTTGTCGTAGTCTCTCGATTGTGCAAATCTCTGTAAAAAAATTCTGTTTTTCCGTTAACCAGCTACGAACGACAACTCTCAAAAGTCGAAACTTTTGCGAGCTGAGGACTAACGAGGTGTTATCTTTCAAAGTGTGAGTCATAACATGGAGTATTAGGTACTGCTGCGAAAGCTTGAATTTTATGGATTTTAAAACGGTCGAAGTCATATTTAGGATATAGCAAATAAATTCAGTAAAGTTTAAGAGAAATAGAGTGTTTTTATATATAGTTGTTATTATATCTTTCCTAATCCCATTAATAATGTAAGTTGTAATAACTCTATAAAGATACTGTTCTTCAGTCAATAAAGCATATCTTGATTGATTGATTATTTTTCATTCAGATTTTAGGGTGTGAAAGATAATCATAGTGCACATAAAATGCTTGAGGTAATTAACGTATTTAATTTTCGACCATTTAAATAGGTATATTAAGATATCCTTAAATAATAGACATTTGCCATTGCGGACTTTTCTGTTTTATATGTATACTTTACACATGTATAAACATATATTAGTTTTTTACAAATATTTAAATCCATTATGGATTTTCATTAATTAATTACCATTTTTGAATAGATTTTTTTATTTGCATTCATTATTTTCAATATCGAATACATCAGTAATTACGGTAGGTAGTTGATTTTAAGACCGAGACAATAGGCTTATGGTGCGTGAGAAAAAAGTTACATATGTTTTCGAATGAAAATTAGAAAGATATCTAGAGAAAACTGCATCGATTGTTGTTCCATTTCTTGTGTTAGGCTCATTTCGGTTATTATTAATTTGTAGTTCTGATTTATCTTGTTGAAAGTTTATCAAGAGTTGTCCATCTTCGGACGCGAAATCAACATTGAAATCTCCTGCTAAAATTAGTGGCAACGTACGATACTTTTGTCCTAATTCTTCAGAGCCTTCTCAACCGTAAATGTGCCCCCACGGTAATATACAAAACGTAACTCTTTCTCTTTCTATCTTCACTAACTTCTACCTCTCTACTTCCGTTCGCCTCGCTCGATCAGATTTTTCGCAACGCTCTCATCACGCATTCACCAGCTTACTTCCCAAGTCAAGCGGGGCGTAAAGAAGTTTTACTTCAGAAACAAGTTCATTCAACGAACTCCTTCTCATTCTCGTTGATATTTGCAAGGCTTTGTTAACTTTTTCATTTTTCGGTCAATTTCGGAATTAATTGCACTATAAAATACTTTCTTATCCTCTACACTTCCACAAAATTCTTCAAATTGAGTACATATTTCATTTCTTCTGTTTTTTCTGGTTATGGTCGTCGCTTCCTTGAAGGCGCATTTGACCTCCGCCTCCTATTACATAACATAATAGGAGCTTCGATGGATGGTACAGTTTGATTTGCTCGAAGCAATATCGTACCCTATATGTAACATCACTTGTCTGCTCTTAACTTGTTTGACATTTTTGTGTGGGTTGTTCTTAATCATTTTTTGAACTAATACAGGAAAATGTGGAACAATCACGATTTTGCGTGTCATCTTTGCTCAGGGGCCATGCAATCTTCTGTGTATCGTTCCAATTTTAGTATATTTACCGCCGAGGCGAGTAGGTACTATATTAAAGTATTATGAAATCNTATCGAAAAATATATAATCTGACGATTTCCGCAAGCCGAAATAGCAAAAATTCGTCGAGAAAGTTTAATGCGTGCAGCTGCGTGATGCCTATATTTCCTTCTCCGCGTTTCTATTCTTTTTTCACTTTTTCTTTATCTATTACTCTCTCACTCCGTCCCCACTCTGAATTCTGTTGCCATGACGCCATCACAGCTGATCACAGAGACTCGTTCGTAAGGAAGATGATGATTAATTAATCAATTAATTGATGGATGTAGCCGTTACTACGTGGTAGGAAATCATAATGAAGAAAAGAGAAATGCAACTTTCTATGTTTTTACCACTTTTATTTGTAACTAACGTTACTGCAGTTTCGTCCTATAAAAAAAAATCTGTCTGTCTGTTTAAAAATCTGTTTTTTCGTTAATCAGCTGTCGCCTCTATACGAACAACAACTCTCAGAAATTGAGAAACTTGTGCGAGCTAGGGACTAACGAGGTCTTACCTTTTAACGTGTGATTCCTAACACGGTTGCAGGATCATTTCAGCTTCAACCCGATGAATTCTCTCGAGAGTCGGGCGCACTTCCACCGCGGCCAATTCCACAATAAATAAGGACTATAATATGAAAAACCGAGTTTAAAAATGTCTCGAAATGGAAGGACTCCAATTCGAACATTTGTTGCACAATTAATTTTTTTGTGTAAATAAATTACTTACTTCATTTCAATTTTCATTAAAATTATAGTGTTCGTTTCGGATGTTATTATTGCTACCATTTTCTTTTCACATATAATATATTTTTGGTGTAGATATGTGTCAGATAATCATATAAGGTTTTCTTATTCGAAGTTCACTGTAGAAAACGCTCAGAGCAATGGAAAAAATATGAATAGGTACCTAAAAATGAAAAAAAACTCTCGAAAAACTCTACGATACGTAAAAGTTGCTATTATGTTTTTATTCAACTCAGTCAACCAATTTCCAGGGCCGTAATTTAAAAGGGAATAATTCACAAAATTATAATCGAATATTACCGAAACATCCCGAAATATAAAATTTAATTTAATTTCTCAGTATGAAGTGAACGTCTACGATCCAAAATCTATAACAGAAAATACAGGTCTGTATTTAAAAATTCAAAGATGGGGTTTGCCCAAGTGAGATGACACTCTGTACAAAAGACTCATGGATATATGCTGAGATGGGCTCCCAGCATATATCCATGAATCAAGTGCCGATAGCAAAATGTGGAAATATTTTCAATATGTCTGCGAATAAAGAAGATATAGGCAAAAAAATAATTTGTGATTTTTTTATTTTTCCTGTATATCTCCAGAACCAGAAGAAATATATTCGATTTTTTTACATCATTGAATAGGTCTCTAAAATACACAACTTTGCCATCATCTAACCGACACTCTATCTCTTATCGTTTACGAGATCCCCATGTACAGAAACGAATTTGAATAGCCCTGTATATGTTTGTATATATAGATAAGTATAGATGTGTGTTCATGTATACATTTTTATTTATTGTATATATTATGCATGTTGGTCTCCGCACTGGTTTTCCCCTCAGTATACTTCAGGTCCAGAACTGTTATCTTTTTTGATCTTTCCATTTTACTACTTGTTATTATCGATATGTTAGTTATGTCTCCTATAAACTCTTAGCCTGTTTCCTGAAAGTAAATTATGATGAATGCTAACAGAGTGCTCAAACAAAATTTTGTGATTTTGTTAGAATTTGATACAGCAGGTATTGGCGGGTTTATAATACTCTACTGGGTCCGCCTTATTTTTGTATCGCAAATAGGTCGCAAATGAAATATTTTATGAGCGTTCGGGTCGTTCACCACCTGCAGTGACGTGAATTTGGCTATTCGATCAAAAATTTTTGTTTAAAATAATAAGTATGTTTATTTATATAAAATTGTATTGTCATAACACTTCGATTTGAAATATTAATATTATGATAAATAGGTATGCTTATTCAAGATGATATTAGGAATGAGCAAAACTTATGATGGGTAAATAGCTGATAAAACCGATGATGAATATTTGTCGAATGTTACAATTTGAAGGTTCTACAATTTCCCCAACTGAATGCTATAATTTCTAAATGTTGTTCTCTTTTCTCACAACACGTTTCATTTTTCGGAATCGGAATTTTTCAAGGATCCTTCGAAATTATGTGTGAATGTGTTTTTTTAACGGTTTTATTCAGCTCGGCCTGTTTGTTTGGGTTAAATTTTGTTGTTGAGAGATTGATCTGATATTTAGTACACACATTTAGTTTTGATGGCAATACGATCATCATCCAAGATGACCGCAGCTACAAAATGGCGAATTACATATTATTTCACAACCACCTCAATATGGGTATCATCTGACAGGGCTTGACTAATACTATAGTAGTACACTTTGAAAAAGATTCCAAATCCAATATAATCTATACTTTGTCAACAAAGAATCGGGATACTAGCATGGATCTCCAACCCAAGTCAAGATTTTGTATCGTGTCGAGGACTGTGTGTAAAAAAAAAAGATAATAATGATGAAGATAATGTACTATGAACTAAGAAAAACACATGACCTCACCTCGAAGGAATGCAGTCGGAAACCGCCGGTAAAATTCTAGTACAGAACCGACTACAGAATTCTCGAAAGGACCTTTACTGATATAAGCCCGTCTTCCCGACCCGATTAAACAAGAAATTCAAATAGTGGAAATAGATTAAGAGTTAGTTGATAAGTGTTGTGATAAATAAATTAGTTTGTGATTATTGAAATATTGTTTGAAATAAATTTTATTAAGACAGTTAATTCATTAATTTGTCACAGTATTTACATTTTTACTCAGGTTACTCTACGCTCAATAATGTTATTATAGTTTTATCTGATTGCTTAGGATAGTGGTGTGATGACTGCTACCTAGGGTCTAGTGAACCATATTTCAGTACATTATCAACATCATTTTTTTATAAAACCGTTCAACATATATTTTTTTCTGCTCATTTCATTCACTCGAGCACAAACGGGCCAGGCTAAGCAAATAACATGCAGCACATATCCGATTTCGAAAACCAGATAAATTCAGTGTCGCTCCACATGCCTTGGAGAACGACTATAGGATGAACGAAAACTGTTCATATGGAAAAAGATGTTTCGGGAGGGCTTTTATTTCCAGTTTGTGTTTGGAAGTAACTTCTATGAATGATCTAAACATCTTTGTACATAGTTTATTTTCAACTTAATTGCTTTTTTCCTTCTTTGTGAAGTGTTCATAATGGTTTGTATATAGATGGAGAAGTGAAAACCAAAAAGTTTTTTTCACAGAAGCTGATTTCTTCTAAAAAACTATAACTGTCTCTTTCAATTTAAGCATGTGAACTTTTTTCAAATTGAATATATAAACAGAATGTACAAATACGTAAACCATAACAGATATACTGAACTCGTTTTACTGAAACATGCAGATGTTTCAGTAGTGTGCGAATTTCCTGGCCGACAAACCAACGTGGCCATCCGAGGAATTTCACGCAACCTTCAAATTCCTTCTCATGCTCCGCAAGTGTTTAGCAACCATTAATCTGATACATACCCAGCAAAATATTCATTTCATGGTGCATCACATGAACATAATTTGTAGACACATCACGTGCACATGTGACTCACAATGGACGGTGAGAGTTTCAGATGGATTCACGTGCTTTTGTTTTGTGCATGCCCGCATTGTTTAAAATAATTATAAACAAAAACAAAGGCGCACAACGTTATGTTGTCTTCGAGAGAATAAAGGCCGTCACACTCAATTTCGAGTTGAATCATGCACTAATAAGTCTTTGAGGTCCACATGGTTCTGTTGTCAGAGAGCAGTAAACGTTTTTAACTATGCAGGTAACTAATCAGACATACGGGTATATAATAATACCTTTTAGTTTTAAAACAGAAATCAGTTAGAATAGAGGAGTTAGCTTTTGATGAAAATCTTCTGAGTTCAAATACATTATCACACTTTTTATAGTATATACAGGGGTGCGCAGCGCAAAAGTTCGGAATAAAATTAATATCTTTTCAACCAGTATTTTAGTAAAAAAATTGCTGAAACACGTCAGTTGATTTCACGTTGTACGCATTTTTTGGCAATAAAATAATTTTTTTTCAACCCCTTAGCTGCAACCCTCCCTAACTTTATTTTTTCAAATGCAAACCTATGTTGTGTATGGGCTCATTGAAAAGATCGTAAAATGGATTCTGACCATACCCTTTTTTTTGTGGTTACAACGAAATGAGAAAAAACTCTTTTGAAAAGTTACAAATACCTAACTTAGTGCTATCTACGGGCGAATTAACGTAACAGATGCTGAAATTGGCCTCCACCCTCTACTTGGCAAGCTCCTAGGCGATGGTAAAACACGTCTACGGAATTCCGAATGGTCTCGGCCGGTATGTTATGTGATTCCACTCCAATTCTGCTCTTTAGATCTTCAATATTAGCCGGCCTATTTTGATAAACCTTGTCTTTCATATATCCCCAATAAAAATAATCTAATGGCGTTAAGTCTGGGGATCTTGGCGGCCATTCAATTGTACCACGTCGTTCAATCCAGCGTCCTGCAAATATGTCATCGAGATATTCTCTGACATTAATACCAAAATGTGGGGGAGCGCCTTCCTGTTGGAACCAAAGTGTTTCAGTGGGGATATCTGGATCTGCTTCATTGGGAAATATAACAGCTAATGCAGGGACTAATTCAAAGCGTAAAAAGTCTAAGTAGCGTGCAGCTGTAAGGTTTCCCTCAAAAAAGTATGGCCCTAATATTCTGTTGTTGATGATGCTTACCCATACATTTACTTTCTGAGGACGTTGCGTACGAGCTTCTCATATCCAGTGTGGGTTTTCCTGAGTCCAGAATCGATAGTTGTGCCTGTTAACTACGCCATGTAAATAAAAAGTAGCTCCGTCCAAAAACCTCCCAATCGTACG